TATTATGTATTGGATTCCTAAATTACATAAAAAAACGTTACAAAGCCAGATTCAATGCTAATTCTACATCTTGCACCACAAGTAAACTTTCTATTTTATTGACGTCTTGTTTGACTGCCATTAAAACACATGTAATTAGATATTGTGATAAAGTCTATGAAAACACAGGCACACATCTCTTTTGGTCAATTAAAAATTCTGGTGAAATCTTGGATAAATTCAAAATTAAGAACTTTCAAGCTTCAACTGTCAGTACATACGATTTTTCTACACTTTATACAACTTTGCCACGTAAATTAATCAATAATAAACTTATTTCCCTAATTCAGAAAACTTTTGCACGGGAGGGGGTTGCGTTTCTAGCATGAAATTCTAACAAAGCTTTTTTTACTAACGGTATTGTTAAACATTATACTATGTGGACCTGTGACGAAGTTTGTAGAGCACTCTCTTTTCTTTTAGACAACATTCATGTCAGGTTTGGTAATACCCTTTTTAAACAGATCATAGGAATTCCTATGGGTACTAATTGTGCACCCCTGGTCGCCGATTTGTTTTTGTACTGCTATGAAAGAGACTTTATGTTGAGTCTCTCTGAAGATAAACAACAAGATGTTATAGTCGCATTTAATAATACCTTGATGATATTTTTAATTTAGATAATCTTTATTTTGATCAAATAGTGTCTGACATTTATCCGCATGAACTACAACTTAATAAAACGAACTCTTGAAATTTTAGTACATCATTTTTGGATCTTCATATTACTATCTACAACAATTCTATTCACACGAAAATCTATGATAAAAGAGATGACTTTGACTTTTGTATAGTATAATTATCCACATTTAGATGGAGACGTACCCCATGAAACATCTTACGGGGTTTATGTTTCTCAGTTAATTAGATTCGCTAGCGCTTGTAGCAACGTAAAGGATTTCAACGAGCGGAATATTTTTATTACCAGCAAGCTTCTAAAACAGGACTACCGCTATCATAAATAACGGAAATATTTTACTAAATTTTACAATCGTAACTTTGATTTAATTTCTAAATTCAATAGTGATTTATAAACTATTCTGCGACAAGGGATTAGCCAGCCTGGTTTTTATGGCGATGTGATTTACAAACTTCGTAAGATTTTGGGTCATGGTAATTTTTCTGCTGTTTTTACTAAAATCATTAAACGTTTTATTAAAAGAGGTTATGACCCTACTATTTTAAGACAAACTGCATGTTTAGTGTTTAGTGTTCAACCCTTTTACAGTTGGACACTACGCTTTCCTCTTTTGATTGAATCTGACGGACCAAGTGGGAGACTATGATGGATAGTTCGTAAAGCCCTTTGGGATTGAATTGTCTTAATGTTCGTCTTCTGCCTTGCTTTGTCGGGCCCTTGTAGGTGATTTTCTTGTTGCTCTGTCTTCCTTTAGGACATTGAGTACTTTTGTTATGGTCATTGGGTTTACTTTTATATGTTTCTACATGATCATTTTAGTGTTTTACTTATTAAACCTTTTGTTACCATGATAACTGTTAGAATTTCACTTGGCGGGGATTCATTTTATTTACACTGTCTCGTTTATAGGAACAGAGCGAGGTTTGGTGCACCATTAACCGGTTTAAACTCCCCAGCAGTCATTATTATGCTGCTGACCGTTCCAAGGCGGCCCCCACTGTGTTCCTCAGATGTATGTCTATGTTGTTTCATACTGTTTTGGTGACACTTTTGCTTGTGTCCCTTGTTGTTTTCTCGTCTACGGTAAGTATCTTCCCCATTGCCTCTAGTATTTATTTCTTTGATTAACCCCCCCCCCCTCTTCCCCCGTCTTCTGTCCCCTTTCCCTTTGTGGGCATATTATTATTTTCTTTGAATTCCTTATCAGTTACAAAATATTTATCATTTAATAGCTGCCGGTTTCTTTTTGCCGGGCCAGTTTTTGGCAAATTCAACCCCTATTTTTACGCGTTTTAAAAAAATGAAAACTATCTTAAATTGTTATATTTACTAAAAGGTTTAATAGTTAATATGTTTTGTTTCTCTATCTTTACTACTTTTTTGTAAAAATGCATTTAAAAAATGCATTTGCCATGGCAAAGTGTGTTTTGCCATGGCATTTCGGCATTTTGCCATGGCAAATTTTTGCCATGGTATATTTTTGCCATGAGAAATTTTTGCCATGGCAATTACATAAAAGTTTGCCATGTCAAATCATTATGATATTGAAAATTTAATGTATAATCGTTATATTATATTGAAAATGGAAAATGTTATATTGTTCTTAAAAGGCGGTTGAATATGCGCACATAAAAATCATATTTCTAGAAAATAATATAAAAGACCTTTCTTTTAAACTTTGTTTATTCGCCATAATGTATAATATAAACAGAAAGAAAATAATTGGTTACTGTCACTTTTGTAAAAATTGTTTCCCCTTTTTAATGTTTATGACACACAATTTTTTGAAGTCCTTAAAAAAATATGTTGCAATGTAAAATTGTTAACAGAAACATGTCCAACATCTTCATTTGGCTCAAAATTACTGCGCCAGTACCTTTATTCTATATATTTGGATTTAACATTCTGTTCCTGGCATAAATATTTTGACGATTCTTTGACACTGAACATAGTACTTTGGAATTTCCTTTGAAAACTGAGTGAAATGTATGCTGACAGGTGTTGGCACAATGATTTGGATCATAAAGAAATTATTTAATCTATTTTGTTTTATACAGGGAAGTCAAAGACCGGGCCCGGCTATAGACTACACGTAAATATTTAAAAGAAAATCAAATAAAAACAATTAAAAAATATATAAAATTCTTTACCTATCAATGAAATTTTCAGTGTCAGTTCTAGTCGGGCGCCGCCATTTACAATATATGTCAATGATAATAGGAGGGGTATTCCGATAACGGAACAAATCTCAATTTTTCGGATTAGTAATAATCATCGAGTGTTCCGAGTCAAAACGGAAGTGGTGTATGTAATATCGAATGACACCTTTAAAACGTAAAGAATGAAAGGATTTGTTTAAAGACTTCCCCGTCCATAGGCTTTGCCTAATTTCATATTAATTTATATGTAACTAATTTTATAAGGACTTTGAATTTATGAAAATTATTCTCACAAAAGTGACAGTTACCAAATATTTTTCTTTCTGATTATGTTATTAGCCCAATCGGGCATTTTCACCAGTCTGTTAAAAGTAAAATGCAATTTGTGATAATGTGATGCCTTATGGTCAGGGTAACAGAATCTTACCTTATTTAGCTCTGTCAGCAGTAACCTTGACTTGTTCAATGTTTTATGATGTGAGCTGTATTCAAACCAATCTTTCGAATTACCTTTCATTGTTGATAGTAACGAAACATAAAATTGTACACATACGTGTAGATCAACATACTTTAAACAACCTATCACGTATTATACAGCTTTATGCTCGTTTAACTTTAATCCAAACGTGTTCTGTTTTTATCTCGCACATCCGGTTACTGTTCCTCACACAGATGTCCTGACTTTAGCATGTAAGTCTGTGTGAATTGTTATTTATTGTATGTAATTACCCCAGACACTTTTATTGATTGATTTAAATAACTGTCAGCACTCTAATCCTTCTGAATTTTGCACAATTTACAATTATTTTTATTAAATTATCACGTTTCCTGCAAGGAAATAGAATAGCCGTTTTGTAGACATGCATTATGGGAGTGTTTATATGGTAACCGTTAGCAGCCGATATCGCTGTCGTCTACATGATGAACGCAATGAAAGTGCGAAATTCAATCTAATGGTACGGATTAGTACTGACCATTTATTTTGGTAAATGACCAAAATTGACCTCTTATTAACCATTTTTGTTGGTCAATTTTCTTGATTAAGTATATTAAAAGGACCAAAACTTGGTAATCTTGGTCAGAATCTGCTTAAAAATTGTACTGTTAGCCTGTTTAGCTTGTCATCAGGGGCTAACATGGAGAAAACTCATTACACTATTAATGTAAGCAATGCTAACTATTTTTAGAGGACTTTTATATAAATACAGATCTAAATTTTAAAATAGGTTTAGAAATAGTGTTTTATTTAGAGGAAGCTTGTCAGAGCTCATTTATTAATAAGTAGCCTACACTTCTGAATTTCTACTAGAGGTCTGAAAGTTGATACATATATGCTATTAACTTGCTGAAATTTATGATGCAGCTGTGTTCAAATCATTATTTATTAAACTAATTAACTGCTTAATAAAGCGTTTATTGTGTGTTGAAGATATAAACCGGGAAAGAGTATTTTTTGACGAGCCGTCCCATCATGTTTATAAACTGGAAAAGAGATCAAGCAATCCCATCACGGTAATTAATAGAATACAATTGGAATATCAAGGAATATTAATATTTGGTGCAAATTTTCACAATAACATGTTATGTGCAACACCCAGACGCCTACCTCCAAGTTCATGGTCCCTGTTTTAGGGAATATTTTGTGTCCGATCTATAACTTTTTTTTAAAGCTCGGCACAAATGTTCACAAAAGAAGTCGTTTTATGTGCAACATCCAGACTTGAACTTAATGTCTGCATAAATACAGTTGAGATTAATTTTTGTCATTATAATCAAAATACTGGTACAATGTATTCCTGTTGACACATACACATATATTTTGGATTGAATTCTACCAGTGGCACAGCTAAGTAAATGTTTAGGAAAGTGTCCATATGACATTCCACTGTGACGGACAGACATGGGCAAATTTTAATGGCCTTTCCCACTAAATGGATACATAAAATAAGGGATGAAAACAATACAAAGGTTATAACTATATTTATCACTTTTATTTATTTAATAAATTGACAGATTAAATTATTTCTTTCAAATATTAAGAACAAGAGATAATACAGTCAATTCTTTAACAGTAGATATATACATCAATAACAAGATATATATTACATTAAGAAAATCATAATTTTAAACTCATAATATACAGTCTGATACAGATATAAAATTGTCTTATAAAAGCATTGGCAAGCTTTATCCAATTCAAAAATAGGCAAGAAAGTAATTATGGATCTATCTACAGCATGTTTATTTTTCTGGGAAAGTGTGAAGTAAGGAATTTCATCTTGTCCATATAATTATAATGCAGGAGTCACAATCACATGTGGTCCTTCACATTAAATACCACTTCAGTGCAGTAAGACATTAATGATGGAAATGACATCTTATTTACTGAATGATTTAAAGGGACTCCACTGAGGTTTTTTGACATGATGGGACTGAAAAAAAAATTTCCAGATAAATGTACCATTTGATGTAGGTTTAGACCACTAATCTTTGTGCAGAATTTCAGATCATCCGCGCACTTTATTTTTCAAGAACAATTATTCAAATTGTGAAAAAATGACTCAAAATGAAAAGTTTTTTTAACGCCTTTCACTCATATTGGACTTAGAAAAGCATAAAAATAAGATTTTCAATTTATTTCAAAGTATATTTCTTAACTATCTTTGCATATATTTCTGTTTAAAGTACCACAGGTCATTTATGTAAGAAATTCAAATGTTATGTTTTTCGGCTTTTAAACCTCAGTGGAGTCCCTTTAAGCATTGAAAAAATTGAAACCAAAGTACAATCATTTCTAGAAAACTACATTTTACTAACAATCACATGTGGTCCTGCACATTAAGTACCAGTTCAGTGCACGTAAGACATTAATGATGGAAATGACATAACTGAATGATTTAAGCATTATAAAAATGTGTTAACAAAGTGAATCCAAAATACAATCATTTCTAGCAAACTACATTTTACTTATGTATGAAATATAAGTAGCAGTTAAGCTAAAGATAATCACTCCAGTCTTTTGACCAAAAACAATATATATCCGGTCAGTTATTTTTTTCACTTGTTTCAACATTTTTCTTTTTTTCAGGAAGGGATGTCACTTTTAAGAAATGTCAAAACTATGCTATATCAGTGGTGTGGCATGTTATAGCCATGACAAAATATGCCACAATAAATAAAATGATCGGAAAACTGTCTTTCGTTTTCAGCGATTTTATCCCGTTTTGAAACGATCGAGATTAAAAATCATTTTGTTTTAAACAGCAACATTTTAAATTCAATTTGTTTATGGTTAAGATCATTTCTTTGTAACGGTAAAACAATGCTTATCTGGAGCTCTGATTTTTTTGGAACCGCTATACTAAAAGAATAAATCAAACGTATCCTAATAATTATGATTTTCACATGTTGCAAACTTAATAATAGGTTCACCTTCGTCCATCAAAAAGTGTTGGAAAGGTGCAAAATTTTCAATTAAGATTCAATTTGACAATTTACAAGATCTTTAGATGACACTCAACTTGAATTTTGCAGTTTACAGATGTATATTTACATTAAAAATTGGTCAAAGACCAAATCATGAGGCTGTGATATTACGATAAAAAATTTACCGTTGACCATTAATGTTGAAAATTTAACTAAGTGGATAAGCACCAAGTGGATGAGCTACACACCTGAAATCGAATCCCATGGTATGAGACCATGTGTCAAATCTGTATGCCATTATTATTAATATCAAGAGGCTGTGATAGGTAGTTGCTGAGAAAACTGTTATGAAAATATTTTCCCCGCCCACCCGCCATTCACCATACTATAACTCAGGTTTGCACCTGTGCAATCGGCCAAAAAATGATAAAAATTCTGCTGGAATCATTCCGGAATTTACAAAAGCTTTTTTGTACAAAGAAATTGGTTTGTAGAGGATTCCCCGAGTTTTCAGTTTAAATTAGTGAGTTTTTAAAGTTGTTATATACAAATTGCAAACAAAAAGTTATCTATGTTGTTATTGTGTATTTTTGTTGAAATTGTATCAAATTAACAAAAATTTGAAGTTTTTCAGAAATAAAAATAAAGGCATTTCTGAGGCATACTAGAAATTCGTTTGAACAGTTTAAATTTGCCTATATCTAGATAAAAATTCCCAAAAAATCTTAAATTCATCATTATCTAACGGTACTGGCATGCGAGCAGTTCCCGTACAGAAGCAGTTCCCGTATTTTTCTTTTAAACGCTTGATTTTTACTTGCATTAATAAATATCAAATCAAGAAGATGTATGAAAGAGACAAAATCTAAGTGTCAGTTCGGCAATACGTACAAAAATCTTTATTTGAAATCTTTTTCACCTGTGCGTTGTCAAAACATAACCTTGTAAACATTGGGCAAAAATATTTACGTATGAGGCCTATTAAAGGGTTTTCCTCTTATACCACCAGTATGCAGATAAGTGGGCAATGCGATGAAAATCTATTAAGTTACTCAATTTTCACCTATATTACAAATGAAATAATTCTATGGCTTAAATGGGATAAATTATTATGCATGCAAGCACGCCATTGTATGCGAATGCTTTGGAGTAACGGTACCCGGTAATTGATACCAGTGTTTACTTTACAAACTTTTTCCTGAATAACATGTATTCATCACTGGGAAAAATGGTCATTTTAACAATTAAGAATGTAAAATAGGTCTAATATTACAACATTGTATAATTATAATTGGTTATATTTTATATACGGGAACTACTTCTCTTCATACAAAATAATGGATAATTTCAGGCCACATAACTAAGGCTGATTCTATGTTAGAACATAAAGGAATTTCCATAATTTGTGTAACGAGCCGAATATTGATGTGTAACAATCATTTTTTTAGATGAGTGAGCGTAATAAAAAACTATTTTTAAGTAACTACGATTTTTGTACGGGTACTGCTCGTATGCCAGTAAACATTGTGAGAAAGGACCAGAGTCTTTAAATATTTAAAATCAAGAGTAAGAAAAGCATATTTGAAAAAGAATATGATGGTTAATGTATGTTTCAATTTTGATGAAATAGCAAGAGGGCGCTGCCAGAAATCAGCAAGATATACATCAAACATTATTGTGGCATTGCAAAATTACAACAATAATTATCAAAATCTGAAGAAAAGTATGCAAACAAATAATTATGAGAAGTTGCCATCAGTGAAGTTTAAACCAATGGAAATCTGTTTTACATAACATAATCACATACTAGTGTATCATCAATACAGGACTAACATATATAATTCAACTTCAATCTTGAATCTTAAATATCTAAATATTTACAACATTGTACAAATCAAAATTAATTTCAATCATATTGACAATATCAATAAATTAATATCTTTGAGACTTCATTGATTCAGTGCAAAGCATATAAACAATATATAATATATCCTCAACATTTCATGGATAATTACAAATAGGATATTTGTTTGTTTTGCATGTAAGATTGAAATATATTTCAGAGTGAACACCAGATGCAATATTTTCGCGAGTGGCATAGACACGAGTGAAAATAGAATATCTTGTGTTCATGAATGAAATATATTTCAATCTTATATGCAATACAAATAAAATTTCTTTTTTATTTCATGCTTTATGATTTTAATTATTTTTTACTGATTGTACCGTGTAACACTGTGCATTCTCCTTTTTACCGTCATCACATCATGACGTCATGTCATCAATTTTGAAATATAGTTCTGTAAGATTTCTCTAATTTTGTTACATTAATGATTTACGGTGACATCGACTTTCATTTTCTGAAGAAGCAAAATTTACGCATGACGGCATAAAATAAGTAATTGTCATTTACTTGCATACCTGTTTAAATTATTTCTGAGTTTAAAACATGTTCTTTTCAGTGTCTTGTTTATAAAGCCCATTACAGGACTTTTTTTAGACCATTCTATTTTTGTCACGAGTGCTGTGAAATATTTCAACTATATAACAACAGCATAATGTTAGATATGGACACCTGCTTCTGTATACATGTAATTATGTTTTGGGGGAAGTTTTCACATTTGATCTACTTTTTCTTAGATGTTTTAATTACAGATTTCTGGCTGATTTTTTTGATGATCTCTTAAAGCAGTTAGAGTGTTTGATACTATTCTTGTACCATTTGCCTCCTTAAATTTTGGAAGCTGACATATTCCAGGAGTGATTGGCGGCATCCTGCAAGCTCTTTCAATCCCATTCAGGTATGCAGCCCACCACTCCTGGTCGTCAACCTCCATTCTTCCAGCCTGTCCATATTTCTCTAGATCTTTTGATAAACATTCTTTCACATTTAAAACCTTTTCATTTAAGGAGGCATTTGGTACAAACCTGAAATCTAACTTTCCAACACAATCTGTCATATCCAATTTTGAATACTCATCAGATGGCCAGTCTTTGTACTTCATCTGAAGTCGGTCTTGGTCCATTTTAAAGGTGAAATGGTGGACACCTTGGAAACCTGAATAACGTGTATCACTTTCCAGGCATTTTGACCTATAATCCAAAACACTGGAGAAGTGATTTACAATTGGAGCAGGTTCCATACATATGCTAATTGCTTGGTGCAATTTTCCAAGTGTTGGTGCATTTGTCTGCCTCAGCTGTTTCCCTATTCTGCTGAAGACAGCATCGATGTCTTCATGAGTATGGCCGACCATGAGGAAATTCAGCTTTATCTGAAAAGATTCAAGTTTTGAAAATTAATTCATTTATGTTAATATCTTAGTTCAGAGTAACACATTAAGAATATACAAAAGTAATCATATCTATGGCCAACTGAGCTAGAATATCAACCATGACATCAAGAGAACATGCAAATAGTGACAAAAAACAAGAAACCTAAACATGTGTAATTTCTAGATTAGGGTAATTAATTTCTATATTTAAAAAGAGTGCAACTATTGACCCAAGATTGGATATATTTCATTTTTTCCCCTCTAATATAACTTAATACCAGAAAAAGGCATGTTCCCTTAAGAAAAGACAGCCATTTTTCCTAATATCTGACTTCTAATTTCCCCAAATTGTACTGTAGAAGGTTAAATTTTATTGTAATAAAAAGCAGTTATGGATGTTTCCATATTTACAACAGATATATGATATAAAAACTAAGTATAACTACGCAAGCTATATTCGTACTGTGCTCATTTCGTACTTCTAGTGCTTCACATCTATCCATTATTTATGTACAAATAATCATATTTTTTTTCTAAACTCAAAAAAGGAAAAACCAAAGTTAATAAAACATGATTTTAATGGTTATATTAAGCCTAATTTTGAGGTCTCCCTGAATAAAAGATATTCCCCTGGCATGTTGTGAGAAATTCCCTATTTGAGTCAAAACATGCATTTTCCCCAATTTGTTTGGTACCGGCACCCTTCCCAGAAGGGGTAAAACTGCTTTAGAGTAATTATTAACAATTTGTTTTCCAATAAAGCATTTTTTATTTGTTGAGTTTTATTTTACAAACAGTGTCAAGTCTCAGAACATTTTGATCCAAGAACTTTTTCATTTATTAATTGGCTAAAAAAACAGTTAGCTAGCAAACCACTCAACATAAATTATTGTTTCTACTGAAAATATTTGTAATTATAAATAAGGGTGTAACAGTTTAAGGAAGGAGGGTAAAATGTAAATGTTTCCACTGTTGTTTCCAAATACGTATTGCCAATGGAAATTTTACTATTTGTGAATAAACAGCATCGTTTTTGGTTATGAACATGTACTAATTAAGTTTTGTTTGTTTGTTTTTGGGTTTTACGTCACATCGACACAGTATAGGTCATATCGCGACGTTCCAGCTTTACTGGTGGAGGAAGACCTCAGGTGCCCTTCCGTGCATTATTTCAGGCACGAACGGGCACCTGAGTAGAACCACCGACGTTCCGTAAGCTAGCTGGATAGCTTCCTCACATGAAAGAATCCAAAGTCCCTGTCGGGATTCGAACCCACAGTGGTGAGGGGCAAGTGGTTTGAAGTCAACGACCTTAACCACTCGGCCACGGACGCCCCGTACTAATTAAGTAAAAAGAGAAAAGTTTTGTGTCCAGCTAATGTTGATATTAAGACCTGTGTTCAGATAACTGTGTCATCCATAGCTGAATTACAGATGAATATTTATTATACAAGAGTAATGTATACAATATAGTTATTACCTTACATACTATGACCTTTTTTATTAAACATGTGATTTTTGTTATATATGCATGCATATTGAATGCCAATGGTACCTTGTCATTCTAGATTTTTTGCCACAGAAACAGAAAATGTAAAATATTTTATTTTAACTATGAAAATGTCCATAGAAGATTAAACACATTGGCAAGGTCATTCACTGATATAAGACCATATGACCAATGCAAATAGCTATGAATATTGTGGAAATTACAGTACTATTGTTGTTAAACATTACGTTATATTACTGTGTGAAGTTTTTTAAAGTTGAAATGGATGAAAATTTTCTGTAGACAGTAAGTATTGTATTGTGGGCCCTGTACTGCAATACCTATCATATTTTGAGGTGAGCGTATTGTTACACCTTTAATTATAAAATGTTGCTATTTAAGAAAATTGTTTATAAACAACATACCGGTAATTAAGGGGATTCTTGAAAGAACCAATTATTTTGATTGATATTTTAAAAGAGTAGAAATATAATTAAATAATAATACCCAAAAGCAAAAAAAAAAACTACCTGCTTCTGTATGCGACATATTTCCTGGCAGTGATAATAACAAGAGTGATCAGTGATCACATGTGTCGCCTCATGATGGCCAATTTCATGTTGGGACAAGTTTTGTGACAGACGGACAGAGCATTTGGTACTGATCATTCCTGTAAAGTTTGGATAAAATTGAACCAGTTGTTTAGTCCGGACAAGCTTTTGTGTATCTGGCAACACACAGAAAGAAACACCTTTTTATGGTAGATGGTTTTCTTTGGGGGTTCATATATATTGATTTGTTTTTTGGGGAAAATATGGGGGAGTGTGTATGTATTTACGGAATGAATGACATTTGAAATTTATAAAAATTGCGTCTGTATTTACGGAATGAATGCGTCATTTTAATTACTTTTTTATCAATATTTTTTATGAATTTACGGAATGAATGAGACTGTCTAAAACAAACCCCTCCATGCCTAAACCAGGATATTGCCATCTATCTACCATGTCTACGGAAGAGTACTTGATGTACCTGCTCTTTAATTTTACCACAGATATATAAACAATATATTATATTTTTTACTTATTTGGACTTTTCACACTTTTAAAAATTTCTGACATTTTTTATTTGAATTTTCTACTCTGGGATCCTTCATATTACCACAGGAACCCATAGTCCTATAAATATGACGTTGCTTTGAGATATTTTTGCTTCTGGGCAAAGCAACTTCATATCGAAATTGCCCAAAAACCATATCAAAATTGCCGAAAAACCCATAGCATGTTCCGGCGGAACGAAAAACAATTTAGACACTGCATATTAACATTAGTTTTGACCTATTTATGAACATAACTAAAAAATAAATATCTTTTTTTTAAATTTAAAGTTTAATTAACAACAGTTACTGAAGGTTGAAAAAACTGATACATTACAAGTCAGATTTACCTAAAATCTTCTTAATGATAAAAAACTAGGATGATATATAGAGTATAATCACTGGAAAGGTTATTAAAGTTTCTATGTGCATGTAAAAAAATTAAGTGATAAAGTGAAAAACAGATAATAGTGGTGTTAATTCTAAAACCACCAAAAAAACAAAAACAGATTTAATGACAGGCTGTTTTATGATATCTTGCATTTATGTAAATTTGATAATGTACTGCATGCATTGGTAAGTTTAATATTTTTCAACTTCATCACAAGTCATAGCAATGACTTGGCAACTTATATTTTTTCCAATTAGTTTACAAAACACCATGAATCTTTCTAGTTATATAACTGAGTTGGTTGGCATTTGTGTTTAACAAACATGTTCTTGTTTAAAATGAATGTTTGAAATGTAGCCAATGGAATAATTGGCAGACTTTTGAATGTCTGTAAGCATGCCTAATAAAAGGATTCAAGGAAAGACACAGTTTTGTCTTCATTACTGTAACTACATTAATAGCCTTCCTTTTAAATGAAGTGTGAACCTTTCTCATTTAAAAGCAGTATTTTTGTAGAATTTCAATTATAGCGCATAACAAGGTTAAAAACTGAAGGTTTAAAAGCAGGTTTGTTATGGACAAAGTAGGGATCATATTCCTTTGCTTTATTGGAATTATATAGAAGCCTCATCCCAGATCAAAATTATAAAATAGTTTTATAATTATTATATGTTTAATTGGTTTTAGAGAGATATATGTGTATATATAACCCACCATGATATTATTTCGCAAAAACCGGTTAGGTGAGGGTCAGGTATTATATATTGGCAGGTAATATATCCACATATATCACCACAACATACCCAACATATGTAAACAAAGGGTGAGCATTATTAGATGCTGCTTTGTCTGTCAGTCCGGTTGTATGTCCGTCTGACTATCCGGAAACAACAAAAGGTATCAACATGATACTTTGTAGGTAGATGGATCTCGTTGGGTAAATGTGCAGTGCACAAGAACTATAATTCTGTCTTGCCTTATTTTGGAGTTATTGCCCTTTGTTAATATTTACATTTTGAACTTTTCCAAGACAAAACTCTGACACTACAAGAGATATGAACAATAAACTTCGTAGGTAGAAAGATCTGCAGTGCTAAGAACAGTAACGCTGTCTGGATGTTAGGAAAATTGCACTTTGAACTTTGTCTGGGACACAACTCTGAAACTACAAGAGGTATTCTGCGCAGCATCAAACTGTATATGCATCTGCACAGCGCATGTTGTTTACAATGTTTCTTTCTTACTTGGATGGATCAATATCCAATCAAAAAGGGGGAGAAATCTGGATTTTATTAAAGATATATGAAAATACTACATCTGTTCTGCTATAGTAAATGTTTTCAAAGATAAGACTAAAGAGATACTAAATCACTTATACTTTTGTTTCAGTCTGGACAAATTTATTTGTCAACTCTCCAGCTAGACAAATGTGTGATTGTTGATGAAAGGTTCCGTATAGTGGAAACAGAAAATGTGAATGACTTTATAAGGAAATTAAAAGCAATATTGAATGGACATGGCATATGCTTCTTTAAAGAACCAACAGGTAAGAATATTTATTTTCTCCCTCACGTTTATCCGAAAATAAACAATTTTTTGCATTTCTTTAGGCCATCCTTAAAAAAATGTTCGTTTGCAGTAACGCGACCCACTCACAAAATTTGCCCCTACTCAAAAATTTTTTTCATGGTCTGGAAAGAAAGAGTTTTTTTTAATCAGAAAATTATGCCTTGATTTGTTTTTGTTCTTTTAAAGGTTAATGGAAGAAAAAAAATCGACCTACCTACCCACCTTGAAAATTCTGGGTCGGGTTACTGCAAACAAACATTTTTTTAAGGATGGCCTTACAAGGAAAACATAGACTATATCGGGTTAGAAGCGGTTTGCTACTTTTTATTCTTTCAAAGTCGAGCATTTTGACGTAACAATACATAGTAATAACGTAATGCAATAAAGACAAAATATATCACCAAAAACAAATTTTCATTTAGGCAAACATTCCACTGACTTGTAGCGAAAATAAAGCTGAACATATTGTAATCAGACTTTCAATGTTGTTAATAAAATTTCAATAACATTTAACGAAATAATGGTGTATATAATCATTTACCTGTCATGTCGATGAGAAAAAAATCAGCCATCTGATCTAGAGTTTATCAAGAATTTTTGTCGTAAAAAACAAGAGCATACATCTAATATTTAAATGATATAGATAAACTGTCACAAATGAATGTGGTCTGATGAGATATCTTTATTGTTACTTTTAGATCTTTAGATTGTTACATCCAAATACAGAGGTGTCAGAAGATGCAACACCACTCAACAAAGCAAATCGGGATTTCCGACTTCAGTGCATGAAGGCGATGGGACTTGACCCAAAGAATGAGGTACAGTTAAATGATTTTGTAATTTTTGCAAATACATGTAATAACAAAAACAACAGCACAGGAGTTAAAAAAGAATAACTGAAAAGGTGGTGACTGGTATGTCATTTTTTTTAGGAAGACAACAAGTACTTATTTCAGTGCTAGAGTTGTCTGGCTTTCTTTGATCAGGCACTCTGAAGATATCTTTGGACTTAAACGTATAAGCATTTTCAATACTCTTCCATCTCTTATCAAACCAGTCAAAAAAAGTCACATAATTTAATTATAAGAATATTACTGTCAGCGATACACTTGTTTTATTTTGATAGTTATAGAAATGCTGTATGGAAATAAATGTTGTTGATTCAAAGGTCTAATTATTCACATAATTCTGACAGGCTTAAAAGCTGTAAACCATTGAAAGCAGTGGTACATATTTTGACAACTTACTGGTATTTAAATGTCATAATCTGCAAAAAATGACATGAAGCGACTGAATGTTTGTTGTTTGCAAACATGTTCACCTGTTGATAACCTCATTACGACAGTAACTATTGTGAAATACAATTTGACACCTCTCCATGAAAGTTTTGAAACCACCAAAAGCTTATTTGGTAATGACTTATTAGAAATGTTTTATTTAATGAATTTGTTTACAAGGTATTTTCAATTTCTATTCTTGAATTTTATTCATTGTAAATGTCTTTTCTTTAATGCATATAATTTTAACTTACAGAAAGTGTATTTTGGAGGAAAGTTTAAGGTGGCGATCGAAATGTCATGTTTATCGCCAAGGTGTTACAGCGCATTATTATCTGTGTTTGAGCGATTCGATGAGTTTCCAAATTTCATAAACACCTCCACCTTCAGAGAAGCATGTGGCTTCAAAGATGAGGGGAAATTATTCACCCTGTTGAATGGTTTGGCTGATGGAAACATCAGCAGGAAGGACTTCAACAAGGCGTTAGCAGATGCCAAGGTATGGTTAAGAATTTTTTAAGGACGACTTTCTTGCCTTTATTAATCATTTTTGTTAAATGTTCATTTGGAGACTTAAGACATAACTGATATTGACAGTAGTAGAAATAATCTGTAACCATCAAGAGCATGTAATTCTGACAAGCACTTTTACAGAATTGCATGTTATTTTCTACTTTGCTTTGTCTATTCAGCTAACAGAGAAAAAATATACTGTACTGTCAGGTGAAATGATTTGTTTATTTTATTGGAGTACAAAGCTTCAACCAAATGAACAGTGAAATATAATCTATGAAATTCTCGTAATATCTTTTAATTTCTTTTATATGATGTCTTCCAATGTTCATTTTACAAAACTTGATGTATATTTATGATCTACCCCATTATATTTTCCATTGCTATGTCATGTTTGCCATTGTTATGTTGTATTTAGGGCCAGAGGCCTATGCTACAAGAAATAAACTTTACTTCTAAAATTACATTTTCCCTAGATGTTTACAAGCATAGAATACAAAAAGAATTTCAAATGATTTCCTTTTTAGTGTCGCCTCTACCGAGTAGTTGCGACATATAGAGATCACTTCTCTGTCGACTGTCTGTCCGTGTGTCTGTCCGTCACAAAACTTGTCCGGACTACTCCTCATAAACTACTGGTGCAATTTCATCCAAACTTTACAAGAATGATCAGTACCAAGTCTAGTTGTGCATATTGTCAGCATTTTCCGGTTCAATGATTTTTGTCAGAGTTATGGCCCTTTAATAAGTTTTATTTTTAAAGTTTGTCGAGACTACTTCTCTTATACCATTAATGCAATTTCAATGAATCTTTACAGGATTGATCTGTAGCTCAAGTCCTTGCGCATATTGCACGGGTTTTCTGGTTGAATGATTTTTGGCCGAGTTATGGCCCTTTGATAAAAAGGTGTTTTTTCTGTGTGTTGCCAGATATGCAAAAGCTTGTCCGGACTACTCCTCATAAACTACTGTGGCAATTTTATCCAAACTTTACAGGAATGATCAGTACCAAGTCTAGTTGTGCATTGTCCATCTGTCTGTCCGTTTGTCACAAAATTTGTCCGAACATGAAATTGGCCATCATGAGGCGACACATGTGATTACTGATCGCTCTTGTTTAATATATTGAAAAAGAGATTATTTTTTATTAATTATATCAATTTTGTGTCCTACAAAATAACTAAGTGAATAAGGTCAAAAATTGGCCATAAATGTCAATTACTGGTATGGAAAGAGTTCTTGCCAGAAATGCTTATACTAGTAATTAAATTAAATGATAATATATGTGATTGATTTATTGTTGCACTTTATCAACTAATATTTTTGATTAATATTTAATAATGTGCAAGATTTATTTTGGTAAGTTATTGCATTTTCTATTGGAATACAGCGATTTTGGGTAGCACTTTAAATATAATGTTCATTTCAATTTACAGCCACATAATCGAGAGAGACGAGAGATGTTGATGGAGGAGAATGCCGAGGTAAGAAACAATGAGTATAAATATATAATTTTGAAACCGTTTACAAACATTGTAATGTAGAATGCCCACTATGCCTCAGAAATGCTGTAATTTTTATTTCTCTCAACTTTAATATTTCTGGTATCTCGTATCAGTTTTTTTGCTCTAACTTATTTATTTTTAAATTAACTTAACATACTGACACCAACATCGTCTTCATAAAACAAGATTCCTCACTCCATCATCAATTTTTTTCAGAGTTATCTTCTCCTTTATCTTAAAATTTTCCTTATTTTTTCTGTTACTTCTTTATTTTTTCATGCATTGAATTCAGAATTCAAAATATGTTTGTCATATGTCATTAGATTTATAATTATTGCTTCTGTAATCCAGAATTAGGTCCATTTAGTATTATGAATTATGAACTTTTGTATTTTTAGTTTCTTCTATTTGGCTTTTTTCAATTTGGGTGGTTCCAGTATTCCTACTTGAATGCTGTCTAATCACCCTTAGGATATGTTGCCTGCTTTTTAAATTTGTCTTTTGACGTATTATCTGTGATATGCAGGCTTCATAACCTCTGATCCCCTTTCAAAATTCAATTTTATTTAGTTCCGCCCATTGTTTTCTCGTTTAGGGCACACGCATTTTTTTACTTGGGGACCATATGCCGCTTTTCATGGAATGGCACTTACGTGTCACATTGAAGGTTCCATGACAACCGCCATATGAACACATCTGCGGATGTTTCAAAATTCCAAATTGTACCAGTTCATGTATAATGTTGAATTCTGCTTAAGCCGGTGCTAGGGGGCGTGGACGGTAACTTGCACTATCCAGTACCGTCCATGAACAGGCTCAATCAAACCGAGCCTGCAACATTGTCAATTTTGCCGTGTTGGGCTTTCTTTAGGGATTCTGTTTATCTCTATTTTATTGGAAAATTGTTATAATAAATGGTACCTTCATAAGACTTTGTCCATGTAAAGATTCATAACTCTAGCATCTTTATTTCAAGATGTATGAAATTGTTAAACTTATAATTTTTTTTATACCCAGGTGCTCTTATCATTTTTATTACTAAGGGATTGTCTTCAGATTCGGTAATTTTGTCTTTTCCAAAGAGCATAGAAATATCTCTCAACTTTTATTGACATATTCACATACAAAAATGCGGTGTAAAAATATAGTACAAAAATGTTATGTAGTGCAAAAACGTTTATTTGAGTGTTTTAGCTCGACTATTCGCCCATTTGTTGGTTTCCCTGTGGTTCATTTTTTGCATATAAGCTGGTATCTCCATAACGCCTGAAGGGAATGGATTGAAACTTCACATACTTGTTATTATACTCAATGAAACACCCTTGTGACAACTCAAATTGTCGAGCGTCGCTGTCCTCAGACAGCTCTGAAAAAAATATAAACGATAATTCTGCCGATGGCCAACAATTAATAAGTTTGAACTTCTAATGAATTCTAAATCAATAATCATCTATTTCCCAACTAGCAAAATTAATTTTATTTGCAGATAAAATTCGCGTGTCCTAGTAACCTGAAGAATACAACTCACAAAAATTGTATTTGTTTCAAGACTTTGTAAAAATAACTAACACAAAATTATATTTGTTAAAAGAAATTGTATGGTTTTTTTTCTCTATTTGGATATGTTTTCATTTGCCAATTTATATATTTGTATGTGCTATAAGCATTGTTAAATGTTTAATGCAATAAAGATATTGAATCGAAATAAAATGAATTGATATCAAGTAACCAACACTGAAAAGCCTTTTACTCTATCTAAATCTATTTAATATTCTTTTATTAACAATAAAAGTGTTCAGCGCGGTATGGCCAGTTATGTGTACATGTGTCGTTAAAACCCAAACAAACAAACGAACAAAAACCCAAACAAACAAACGTACAAACAATCATATATTACAATGAATCAATAAATAAATGGCATGCAGTGCTGCCAAGAACCGGACGCATAATGATACTTCCTTATTATCTAAATGTTAAATACTGCTTAAACTGTTGTATAGGGGCGTTGACAGTAACTTACACTTTCCATCAAGCTCAATCAAGCCGAACCTGCACCATACCATTTTTGTCGTTTTGTGCGTTTCTTAAGGATTCTACATTTCTCTTTATTTAAAAAAGTCTCACACATCGACTTTATTATCGATCGATTGTTACCTATACACAACTATGACCCCCTAGCACCGCCTTAAGCATAATTTTTTATAAGACATTATTCATTGTTACAAAATACATTTTTATATTGACAATACATGTAATAGTGTTCAGCGCGGTATGGCCAGTTATGTGTATATGTGCCGTTACAATCCGAACAAACAAGCAATCATATTACAATGAATCAATCAATAAATGTAATGTTGTTGTATATGACAACATCTGCCGGAAATCATTCATTGTGATATCATTGACAAAATAACATTTTTATACTTTTTAAAAGAATTTACCAGATAAATTAATTGTTAAAATCTAATTTGAAACGAGCGTACGTTTTTGCTTGTTTCAAATATGATAAACAAGATCAACAAGGAAAGGTTGCATTCAATGAACGCAACCCCCACCCGAGCCAGTAACAAGAGCCAGCGGCAAGGAGCCCAGGAGGACCCCAAACAAAAACAGGACAGGGCACAAAGCAGAGAACGGGCAGGCAAACCGCTACATAAGAATAAACAATTAGTAACTGATAAGGAACTAAAAGAAAACAAATAATTGAATATTAAGGCACAGGGGAAGGGGACATGAGATCCGGGGGAATAAATAAAAACTAGCAGCAAGGGGGAAGATACTTACCGTAGACGAGAAAACAACAAGAGACACAAAAGTGCCACAAAACAGTATGAAACAACAGACAAATATCTGAGGAACACAGAGGGGCGCGCCGCCTTGGAACGGTCAGCAGCATAAATACTGCTGGGGAGTTTAAACCGTTTAATGGTGCACCAAACCTCACTCTTAGCCCCACCATGATCCTATAAACGAGACAGTGTAATTAAATGAATCCCCGCCAATTAAAATTCTAACAGTTGTCATGGTTACAAAAGGTGAAATAAGTAAAACATCGAAATGCTCATGTAGAAACATACAAAAGAAACCCAATGACCATATAAACAAAAGTACTCAATGTCCTATAAACAAGACAGTGTAAATAAAATTAATCCCCGCCAAGTAAAATTCTAACAGTTGTTATGGTTACAAAAGGTTAAGTAAGTAAAACACCAAAATGATCATGTAGAAACATATAAAAGTAAACCCAATGACCATAACAAAAGTACTCGATGTCTTAAAGGAAGACAGAGCAACAAGAAGATCAACTACAAGGGCCCGACGAAGCAAGACAGAAGACGAACACTAAGGCAATTCCGTCCCAAAGGGCTTTAAGAACTGTCCATCATAGTCTCCCACTTGGTCCGTCAGATGTAATCAAAAGAGGAAAGCGTAGCGTCCAACTGCAAATGGGTTGAACACTAAGCATGCGGTATGTCTTAAAGTAGTAGGGTCATAACCCCTTTTAATAAAACGTTTAATAATTTTAATAAAGACAACAGAAAAACTACAATGACCCAAGATCTTACGAAGTTTGTAAACAACATCCCCATAAAAATCAGGCTGGCTAATCCCTTGTCGCAGAAGTGTTTTAGATCACTATTGAATTTTGAAATTAAATCAAAGTGACGAGTTAAAATTTTGTAGAATATTTACGTAATTTATAATAGCTGTAGCCCTGTTTGAGTAGCTTACCGGTAATGAAAATATCTGCTTAAGCCGGTGCTAGGGGGCGTGGACGGTAATTTGCACTTTCCAGTACCGTTCATGAACAGGCTCAATCAAACCGAGCCTGCAACATTTTCAATTTTGCCGTGTTGGGCTTTCTTTAGGGATTCTGTTTTTATCTATTTTTTGTAAAAATCCTTTACGTTGCTACAAGTCAATATTTTATTCTGTCTAATTCCACATGAACATACATTAAATATGAATAACAAGATCAACAAGGAAAGACGGCGTTCAATGAACGCAACCCCCATATGACCCAGCAACAAGAACCAATGGCAAGGAGCCCAGGCGGACCCCAAACAAAAACAGGACAGGGCAAAGACAGAGCACGGACAGGTTAAACATTAAATGATAAATAATTTATAACTGATTAGGAATTCAAAGAAAATAATAATAAATTATAACTGATTAGGAATTCAAAGAAAATAATAATAATTTATACTAGTAACTGATTAGGAATTCAAAGAAAATAATAAAAGGCCCACAAAGGGGAAGGGGACAGGAGACCGGGGGAAACAACATAGACTTAATCTGAGGAACAGAGTGGGGCGCCGCCTTGGAGCTTCATTTTGAAAACGATATTCACTAGTATGCCAAAAAAACATTTTTTTTGTTTGTTTTGTTTTGTTTTGGGTTTTACGTCACATCGACAAAGTATAGGCCATATCGCGACGTTCCAGCTTTACTGGTGGAGGAAGACCTCAGGTGCAGCACGGAGGGGCACCTGAGTAGAACCACCGACGTTCCGTAAGCTAGCTGGATAGCTTCCTCACATGAAAGAATCCAAAGTCCCTGTCGGAATTCGAACCAGCAGCGGTGATGGGCAAGTGGTTTGAAGTCAACGACCTTAACCACTCGGCCACGTCCGCCCCCAAAAAAAACAAAAAACAAACAAACTTTTCATCTGGCTATATATTATATTAAATGTAAAGTATTTCATTACATCATGCATGGCAAAATCGACAATAAGTAATAAACAAAAAAAATCTGGAAACATAGTGATCCCTCGTAAAACACTGCGTTTATGTTATTTTGGATGCAAAACTAATATGACTGGATATGGATTATTTTGTTTATTAAATTTATTTTCATTTACTGTTTGAAGATCGTTCAGCACGACATTATTGTTGTGTATACATGTTATGTGGTACTTTTAATTTCTTCTATTTTGCCTTTTTCAACTTGGGTGGATCACCCTTAGGATATGTTGCCTGCTTTTTAAATTTGTCTTTTAACGTCTTATCTGTGATATGCAGGCTTCATTACCTCAGACCCCCTTACAAAATTTCTTTTTATTTAGTTCCGCTCATTTTTTTCTCGTTTAAGGCACGAGCTTTCTTTTACTTGGGGACCTTACGCCGCTTTTCATGGAATGGCACTACTGTGTCACATTGAAGGGTTCCGTGATAAACGCTGTAAGAACACATCTGTGGATGTTTCTAAATTCAAAATTTCACCATTTTCGTGTTAAAAGTTGAATTCTGCTTAAGCCGGTGCTAGGGGGCGTGGACGGTAACTTGCACTTTCCATTACCGTCCATGAACAGGCTCAATCAAACCGAGCCTGCAACATTTTCAATTTTGTCGTGTTGGGCTTTCTTTAGGGATTCTGTATTT